GGCAACTTTGTACATACGCATGTGCTGTGCTCGACTGTTTGCTGAAAAGTCCCCATGATCGGTCATGTTCTGCTTCTCGACTGAGCAGATGCCGACGGCTCTGGTATAATGGACAACAGGATGATGGATGTATGAATAAATGAATGAATGAATGAATGAATGAATTTATACTTTTTGTCTGATTCGCAGTGTAATACCCATATATATATATATATACATATATACATATATATTTACATCTATATATATACCTATATATAGACAAGATGCACCGGCGTGACGATCCATTTGCACAGACATCACAACGACACGATCGGACATGAACCAAAAACTCGGGAACTGACAGAATAAAATAATTTTTTAAAAAAAAACAAGCTTTCGTTTATTTCTATGACCCGACAAAACGGCTTGGTAGCGTTACGATGGCATATGAAAATCCATGCCTGATGGCCTCGCCTCGATACACTCAGCCCAGCCTCGTCCTGATGCACTCCTGCACCTCCTCCAACTCATCCGCGTCCTTGCCTCCCCAGATCACATCCGCCATGTACAGGCCCTCGTCCACCTGGGCCGTCGCCGTGACAACAACCTGTCCCGTCTCGACCAGGGCCCTCAGCCTGCTGTACACCTCGTCCGCACCATCGGCCTTGCTGGCGCCGCGGTACTCGACCGCGGCAAACTGCGCCATCGCCAGCCCTCTCTCGTCCCAGAAATGGCCTCGGAGCAGGCAGATGGGCATCGAGCCGGTGATTCTCGCATTGAGGTCCACCACCCACTGCCGCTGGGCAGCCCCGCGCTCCACCACAATGTCGACGCCGGCCCAGCCGACAAAGGTCTCGGGCATCTTGCTCGCTGTGTCTTGCACCGTGTCCCAGACGAGCTTGCGGAGCGTCTCTTGCTGCGTGTAGTCGATTCTCCCGCCGACCCAGGTCGCTTGGCCGGTGGTGGCACCAGCAGCCTCCTCGTCGCCATCCTTGGGCTTGGATCCGGGCGTGGTGGCGAGCGTCTGCACCGTCACACCCACAATCAGCGGGTTCCGCCGGTCGTGCTGCGTTCCCGGCGCGCCAACCACAAAGTGCACGCTGAGATCCTGCACGAGGTCAATGTATGCCGAGACGAGCACCTCGCGCACTCCGCGGGCTTGGTACGTGCGCATGGCGCGCAGAGCGGCGCGGCGCTGGGCCTCGGTGCGGATGATGAAGGTGCCGAAGCCGCAGCCGGCGCGGCAGAGTTTGAGGACAAAGGGAAGGGGGTGCGTGTGGAGAGTATTGTTGTTTTTGGTGGCGGTAGTGGTAGTGGCCGTGGTGTGGATAGCAGGAGGAGACGAGGCGCAGGTGTCGATGGCGTCTTCAAGAGAGACTGTCTGGATATCGACGACTTGACATGGCGGCGTGCGCATGCCCGAGGTGAGCAGGTACATTTTGGAGTTCAAGTCGTACATGTCGCGGGGTGCGAGCAAGCAGTCGTGGGACTGGTCGTCCATCCAGCCCTGCGGACGCCAAAAGACGAGTTTGCGGCCCCTGGTGGCCCTTTGCAGCTGGGCCTGGACGTGCGCCTGTGCGTCCGGGCCGCGGTCGAGACAGATGATGCGCGGGCGGTGGCGCTGCGAGGGCGCGAGCTGCTGGTAGAGAAGGCGCTGGTGGAGCTGGATGTTGTGGTTGGTGATGTTGGGTGCGAAGAAGAGAACGTCCATGTTGCCCAGGCCAAAGGCTCTGCGGAGAGGCTTGAGACCGAGGATGGTCTTGCGCAGCTTGGCCAGCTCGTCGGACGGGCTGCTTGGGGTGGGGGTGGGTGTGGTTGTGTTCTCAGGAGACGAGGACGAACACAGAGGCACAGGCTCTTCGTCTTCTGGGTAGACGAGCTCGCGAGGAAACGACGGGTGGAGATCCATGTGTCCAAAGACACAATGCAGTGTTGCGATGAAGGGGCCTGGGATGCCATTGGTCATGTACAGCTCGGCAAGCGTTGTGTCGAGGCGGACTGGCGGGAGCAAGATGGGTTGGTCTTTTGACAATGGTGGGGGTGGTGGTGGTGTTGGAGGAGGAGGAGGAGGAGGAGGTAGTGGTAGTGGCAGTGGCAGTGGTGCGAGAGAGGCATCCTGGCGGATGTTGGGTGGGAGTGTACACTTCATTGTTTGACTATCTGCAAGTGTTCTTTTTTCTTCTTGAGTCAAGAGTACAAGAAACGGAAGATGTTGGTGTATATATATCGAGGAGGAAGAGGATGGAGAGCAAGCCAGCCAGCCAGCCAGCCAGCCAGCCAGCCAAAGAATCATGGAGGGACACTCGGATATATCTTTCACAACCACGACTTCAGCAAACGACACAATGCCAATGTAGACGTGGCGGTTCCCATTACCAAAAAGATGCCACCCCTACTGAGCAAGCAGCAGCCCGCTGGGGTTCCATCACTCGGCTTGCTGGAGGGCTTCCCTGGCCCAGAAACAGAAAGCAAATGAGGCTCTTCTGCGCATAGCCACAGTCGTACTGCTGCATGCCAAACCATCCACTCACTCGATGCAGCAACACCAGCTGCGGAATCCGAGGCAGACATCACTGCAGACAGACAGGGAAATAGACAATAGGCTAGTCATCCAGTCATCAACCATACATTGCTCACGCAAGCCCCTGCCTCACCGCCAGGACTGGTTCTGCCCCGTCAGCAAAGGGCAATGGGCATGTGATGCACTCGTTTGCAGTAGTCTATCTTCTATCCACGAACCAGCAAGTCGTTTGGGGTGCAAGGGGGACCCAGGGCCCTGTAAGCCTCTCAGCCTCCTTTCTCATCAGCCCTATAAGGCTGGCTGGCTGGCTGGACTGCGGTGTGAATGATTCAAGCAGTCAACAGAGGACCCTGGCTGGCAGCAACAACATCTCTCTTGGGCCTTCAGTTGGTGCCGCTCCATCCATCCACACGGGCAGTCTGACCACCACTCTGGCGCCCCTCGTCCGTCTCGTCCCGCGCCACTGAGGGCGCAAACGCATCCTGCCCGCTCGTCTCGTCAGCGGGCTCGTCCGCGAACGCATCGCCCTTGTACACGTCGGCATCTCGCAGATCCAAATCAGGCAGATGCGATTCCCTGGCCCTCGAGCCCCCCGTGCCCTTGACAAAGGCCATGGGATTCGCCAGCTCGGCTGCGGGCGTGGGCCCTGCTGACACGACGGCTGTGTTGTCCATGACCGAGATGCCGCGCGTGAAGGCTGGCTTGCTGGGTGGTGGTGCTGCTGCTGCTGCGGTGACGGCAGCGCCGGAAAAGTCGGGCCCCGGCTGGCCTGGGGGTGCCTCGTCGTAGTTTTGCGCGTGGGCACTGGCCGAGCGAGAGACGGCGTCGGCAGCAGCTTCTGGGGTCAGGACGCGCCACGGCTCTTTGGTGCCGTCGTCTTTGGTCTGCCGGACGAGGACTTGACCTGGCCTGCGCAGGTTCTGCAGCTTGTCCTTGACATGGTTGGTGTTGTGTTGTTGTTCTTGTTGTTCCTGTTGTTCTTGTTGAGATATTTGGGATGTTTGCCATGTCTGCGATGACTGGTTCTCGTGGTGGGACATGGTTGGCTTGTCGAATGAGGGCCGTTGCGCATCGACAGATCCCACGGTTCCTCTTCTTGTGGCTCTGCTTCCACCTGTGCCAGGCTGTGTATGTATTTGCTGAGACTCCATGGTGGTTTTTGTGTGTTGTATGTTGTGTTTGTGTGTGTTTGTGTGTATTTGTGAGTGAGTTGTGTCTCTGGATCAGTGGTACCAGTTCGTTGGACTGAATCAATCCTTGGGAAACAATGATACAACACGAGTCCACTTTGTCGTTGTTATTGTTGTTGCTGTTGTGGTTTTTTTTGTTTTCCAATTGGGAATATCAAATGCAAGAATGTAGAGACAGACAGAAAGACAGACGAGCAACAACAAAAAGTGCCAGCCCAAGCAGAGCAACACTATTATATCATATATCCTCCTCCCATCCCAATCCTCCTCCCTTCCTGTTGCGTTTCGTCCTCGATCCCAGCCGGCAACGTAATGATCATCGCACCATTGCCACAGCGGCCTGCATTTCGAGCGCGTTGCGTCCTGCAAAGGAGGCAACCCCACCGCCAGACCCAATGACGCACGTTAGCCCACTGGCATGACCAGCCCGTTTCAGGGGTTTCCCTTTTTTTTTCTTTCTTTTCCCCTTTTGGTTTGCGCTTGTGGCATTTTTTTTCTGCTCTCCACTCGGCGAGGGAATACGTCGGCAATGCGCATGCGCTGACTGCTGTCAGATTTGCTTGCTCGCTCGCGGGCGTGGGAACACCCGTTGGGGCCCAAGCAATGCATGGGTTCCAGCACCAAGGAGGATAACCTCCGCTAGGGCCTTGGGTGGCTCGCTCACCTTGCTCCTGGGGAAGCTAGGTAGGGTGTTTCCTTGGAGGGTGGTGGCAGTCTGGTCAGGGAGCCGTCGTGATGCGCGTCGAGTATCTCGATGCAAAGGCTGCGAAATGCGAGGCTTGGCGATGAGCCACCACCTCCGATGTGGCCCCTCCCCTGGCCTGGCCCACAGTATTCGATCGGCAGTAGGCGCCGAAGCACGACTTCTTGGCAGAGTCCAAAGCGGTGGCCATGGTTGCTGGCATGGCGTTGTTGGACCAAAGAAGACGGCCCACGGTGGGAAGAAAAAAAAAAAAAAAAAAAAAAAAAAAAAAAAAAAAAAAAAAAAAAAAAAAAAAAAAAAAAAAAAAAAAAAGAAGAAAAAAAAAAAGAAGAAAAAAAAAAGAAGAAAAAAAAGAAAAGAAGAGAGAAAAAAAATGTGTCTGCAACATCTTGTGACAGATAGTCTTGGGGGATCTTGATATCTGCATGGAAAACGCAGTGTTGGCAATGTGTATTCTCGGCTGCTTCACTTGCAGCGCATTTGCATGTCCGCGTTATTTGGTGTATGTTTCTGGAAGGTCAGAGCACTAGGGTGGACTGGCAGGACAGGGATTGTATTGATAGAATATAGTCAGTATGTTAGGGCACAATGCCAACACACTAATGGGGATTTAGCACAGTGGTAGCGCGCAACATTTGCAATCAGCAATCTTTGTTGAGGTCGTGGGTTCGATCCCCACAATCTCCATTTCTTTTGCTCTTTTTCTTTTTCTTTCTTTCTTCTTTTTCCTTTTTTGTTTCCTTTTTTTTTTGTTATGTTGAAGGGCTGCACGGTTCCGAATCCATTCATCCGACCTATTCTGGTGGTTTTGATGTAGTGTTGCCGTTTTGGCGGCTGTTTTTGGCTGGTCGAGGGCAGATAGTGACTAGTCTTGCTGGTTGGAACAATCATATAATGACACAACAAGGCAATACTATATTCATATAACAATGCAACAACACACCGTCACACCCCCCAAGATCCACCGACGAGGCATCCCTGGCTCACTTTAGCATCTCTCACGCTGATTTCTGACAATCACAGCCTCGCGCCTCGGTTGGCCGCCGCCCCCTTGACCTCCTGCTTGAATGCCAGCTCCTCCAGTATCTCCTCGGAACCGCCGCCGACGACCATCATGCGCAAGTCTCGCGTGATCTGCTCGACCGTCCCGCCTCCTCCTGGGCCTCCTCGCTGATACGCCACCCCGCCCATGACCTGCTGCGCTTCCCTCGCTGCCCGCTCCAGCAGCCGACCGCCCGCGACCTTGGCCAACGCAATCTTGCCTGCAATGCTGCTGTCGCTGCTGCTGCTGCTGTTGCTGTCGCTCGTCGTCTGCTGCTGCTGCTGCTGCTGCAGCGCATAGGCAATCTGCTCGAGCCACGCCCAGTGCATCTCGACCTCGCGCGCCACGGCGACAAGCTTGTGGCGGATCATCTGGCGGCGCACCAGCGGCTGGCCAAACGTCTCGCGGCCCGCGGCGTACGCGAGCGCCGTGCTCAGACACGTGCGGGCCTTGCGGTTGCACATGACGGCCATGGCGTACCGCTCGCGGTTGAAGTTGGCCATGATGTACTTGAAGCCGCCGCCCTCGACGCCAATGAGGTTGTCGGCGGGCACGGCCACCTCGTGCAGGCGCACCCAGCTGGCGCCGCCGGCGTTTTGGCCGCTGTTGGGGATCTTTTCGATCTCGATGCCGGCAGACGCGAGCGGGATGACGAGCAAGGAGATGCCGTCTCGGCTGCTGTCCACGTGTGGGCCGCGGGACCGGTGCGCCGTGTCCGTCCGGACGGCCGTCGTCATGTGCGTGGCCCACTGCGCGCCCGTGATCCACTTCTTGGTCCCCGTCACCACGTAGCACGTGCTTCCATCCGCGCCCACTTTCTTGACGGCTCGCGTGCGGATGCCAGCCACATCACTGCCGGCCGACGGCTCGGTGATGGCCAAGCAGAAGCTTGTTTCCCGCGTGAACAGGCCCGGCACCCAGCGCTGCTTTTGCGCGTCGGTGCCGTGGGCGAGGACCGGCGGGATGCCGATGCTCGTTGCGCCGTTGGCCAGAGCAATGGCCACCCCGCCCTCGAAGCGGGAAATCTCGTCAATGAGGATGAGGTGGTGGAACTCGTCGAGCTGGTCGAGAGGGATCCCGGCTATGGACGACGACGACGATGATAGTGATGGTGATGATGCTGGCCTGTACAGAGGAGACTCGGCAGCAGCAGCAGCAGCAGCAGTCCTGTAGAGGGGCGGGATGGTGGCGGCGAGGCTGGCGAGCGGGATGCCGCTTTGGATCCAGTCGTGTTTGGCGGCTGCGGGACAGTCGCCCTGGGCTTCCCAGTCGAGCGCGTGCGGGAGGATGTGGCGGTCAATGTACGCGCGGGCGTACGCTTGGAGCGCGCGGTGCGAGGCCTGGTAGTAGGGTGACGGCAGCGTGTGCAGCCAGGCTGGTTCGCCCCAGGGAGGGTTGGCGAGGGCTGCTGTTTCTGCTGCTGCTGCTGCTTCTGCTTCTGCTTCTGCTTCTGCTGCCATGTGATTGTTTGTTTGCTTGTTTGCTTGTGTTCTTGCTTGCTGTGGACGCATATGGGATGGGATGGGATGAGAAGAATCCAACTGATGAAAAGAATCCAATTGATGAGGAGAATCCAAGTTGTCCCAGGATATGCTATGCTACCCAAAGTTCTGGGCTCTACGAGTCGACGGGGCTTTTCAATCGTTGAATATCAACCATTCCTCCCTACACATGGTCTTGCAAGGAGGGCCGTGTGATGATGCAGCAGAGGGGGAAGAGGAGGGGGGCCAAGCCAGCGCGCGGGAATGAGCCGAGGTTTGTCTGTCTGGTCAAAGCATGTGTGGCCAGCTCGTGATTGTTTTTTTGTTTTTTCCTTTTTTTTCCCTCCGGATTCTTTGGGTTGTTTTTTTCAACGGTGGTGATGATGATGGTGATGATGATGATGATGATGATG